CCCCCCCCCCTTTAAAGAATTCATCCTTTACACTTTATACAGACAGATAAATGGACATGTGACGTGTTTGTCTTTCAGGGCTGCAATGTGTTCGGCGTGTTGGCATTTTGCAGGTAATCTTCATTTACAGTCAAACACTGTACATCAGCACACTTCACTTCACTTGCAAGCCAATCAGCACTCGACAGGAGAATTGAAAAATGTAAACGAAAGCCGGCACACTTCAGTGTAAAGAAGTTGCATTTCCCCAAGTGGAGTTCCAGATGTTTAAAAAAAAAAACACAATAAAACAGAAAAAAGTATTTGGCCAAAAGAGCTTTAAAGAGAAACTTATGTGAGGCTGAGTGTGTAAACAACAGCGTCAGTGAATAAATAATGATATGAGGGGTTTGGTATAAAAAAAACAACTGAATGTGCAGCTGGGTCTTCAGCCTGAAGTTCACATGTAGTTCGGACCGTCATGCTGATGTAGAGTTTTGCAGTCATGTGTGGAAGTCCTCTGCAGGGTCGGCCCCCCCCAGCTGGAGCTAGAGGTGGTCGTAGGCGGCTGCAGAGGGGGGTCCAGAGCGGGAGGCTGAGCTGTAGTAGTACGGTGAACCTGCGGTGGGAACACATAGATGGACAGTTGTTTAATTACATCCAAGTTTCGCCTCAGACTACAGCAGAACTCTGAACATCAAGAACAGTGTAGCTGGGGGTCGAGACCCCATTGTAGGTCATGAAACGGGGGGCCTTAAGAAATGAAAACTTATGGTGTCATTATTGCAAATACTAAAAACAGTAAATGAATAAAAATGATAATTTATTTGGTAAAACCAATTATGCCTTTGTTTAAAAGGTTTATTAGAAAATTTTCTTTAAATAAACATAAAATAAATGGGCTCAGACGCCATTATTTTGTTAGTTAGAAGCCAAACGGTTTGAGAAACCCTTATGGTACAAAGCTAAAAAGCTACATTTGTTTTATTTTCAGAAATGTATCCAAACTGAACAAACTGTGAATGTTTACCGAATGACTGATGCAACTTGTTGAAGAATTAATTATTAACTGAACGTAAAACAAGCAGAATATGGGCTACAATTTACTAAACAATGGCTTTAAACTAAAATGCAGAACATTGAACTATAAGAATTAGCGAAAGTTTAAGAAAAGCGTTGTTAAAAGCCTAAAGAATAAGCTAAAATGAGCAAAACTGTTATGTAAAAGCTAAAGTTGGCAGAAGTCTTTGCTAAAACCTAAAATAACATGACCTATAAGGGTTAAAAAACATGGATAAAAATTAAAACGAGCATGATAAAATTAGGAAAACAATAGTTAATTGATAAAAATTAACTACTTTAAATGAGAATTAAAGCTTTAACCTAAAAGGTAAAGTTAAAAGCTAAGATAAGCAAGACAGTAGCTATATGTTTAGCAAGATAGAAGCTAAAAACTAAAAAAGGACATTTAAAGACAAATTAGAGTATTTTCAGCAAATAATATTTTTGAAGATATAAAGACAACCTAATGTTTTTTATGAATATAATGTTTGTTTACTTCTGCAGACTTTACTTTACGTTCATCTAAATATTAAGCTGTGAATTTAATGTTTGGAACATCTATACTTTCTGTTTAAAGTCACAGGACAATCATATGATATGAATCAGTCAGAATAAAAAAAAAGGGGTGGGGGTAAAACAAGACAAATAAGTCAAGGTCATGCTGAACACAGCCTCAAGTAAATTCTGTTGAATAATCAGAGTAACTGTTTCCACAGGAGACAAAAGCAACAGTTTTGAACTTGTGACTGAGGCGTTTTCCTCTCCCGACAAGTTGTTCATTTAAATTCAAGTCACGTCGGATTATTTTACAATGACAAGGTCAAATTCTCTGCAAATCTCTGAGAAGTTGTGCGCACAAACAGAAAAAAATAAAATAATTAAAAAAAAACCTCAACACTTAGTCTTGAGGTTGTGTTCAGCTCCTCATATTGGTTAAAGGGGAGGTGCTTCACCTAATATGCTGGGGTTGGTGAACCTCCAGGCTTCGCTGTAGGAGGTGTAGGGCGAATGGCTGTAAGACTGACCCGAGTAGTCTGCGCCTGCTACAGGATGACAGAGAAAAAAATAAAAAAGTTTAGGGACTCACATTTTTCAGCTGAAAATCATGAAGATGTTTGTTGTGAGAAGGGTGAGGCTGAGGGGGAGGGAGAGAGAGGGGGAGACAGGCGGGTTGTTTGTCTGCGTGCCAGCATCTGCTCAGCCCTGGCTCATAATTCACCAGCAGTTAGTGCAGCATGTAAACCATTAATCTGCGGTGCAGGTGGATAGCTGAGGGTAAAATCCCTCGGCCCAGCGGTGCGTGCACATACAACCAGGCCTGTGTGCCCTCTTCCTCCTGCATCACTCTGCCCTCAGAGATGCCCTCCTCCTCCTCCTCCTCCTCCTCCTCCTCCTC